ATAATGTGGAGTATCTTTGCATTACCACCAATATCAACAGCCAGAGGCGTATATTGGAAACACTTCCTGCTTTCTCTTCTGGGTTGTATTATACAACCATCAAAGCAGTTGAAGTCCATGCTATCATGAATCAGAATTTCATTGACCCAACGACCTTCATGCTTTGGCATGATCGCCTTGGGCATCCTGGATCCACAATGATGCGTAGGATTATTTCAAATTCAAATGGACATCTTTTAAAACCTTACCATAGTACTTTGTCCATTGACCAGTCTTGCAAAGCTTGCTCCCAAGGGAAATTGATCATCGGACCTTTTCCGTCAAAACTTGGCTTTGAATGTCCATATTTCTTACAGAGAATTCAAGGGGATATTTGTGGGCCAATTCACCTATCTTGTGGAACATTTCGTTATTTTATGGTTTTAATCGATGCATCTACAAGATGGTCACACGTTTGCCTATTGTCAACTCGTAATGTTGCTTTTTCTAGGCTCCTTGCTCAGATAATTAAATTACGAGCACAATTCCCTGATTATCCAATAAAGTCAATTCGACTTGATAACGCTGGTGAGTTTACCTCCCAAACTTTTGATGCCTATTGCATGTCACTTGGGATTGATGTTGAGCACCCAGTTCCCCATGTCCATACTCAAAATGAATTAGCAGAAGCTTTTATTAAGCGTCTCCAGCTTATTGCTCGCACTTTGTTATTGAAGACAAAGTTGCCAATTTATGCTTGGGGACATGCAATTTTACATGGAGCAACTTTAGTCCACTTGAGGCCTGTTACCCACCACCAATTCTCCCATTTACAACTTGCCTTTGGGAGACAACCCAATATATCACATTTAAGGGTTTTTGGTTGTGCAGTTTATGTGCCAATTGCACCCCCACAACGCACTAAAATGGGTCCTCAACGTCGATTGGGAATTTACATTGGTTTTGATTCACCAACTATCATTCGTTATCTCGAACCTATGACAGGAGATACTTTTACAGCACGTTTTGCGGACTGTCACTATGATGAGACATTCTTCCCGCCGTTAGGGGGAGAAAAGACCGTTCCTGAAGAACGGCGAGAATTGGGTTGGAACATATCCATTATGTCTCATCTTGACCCTCGTACAACTCAAAGTGAAAATGAAGTACGAAAAATTGTCCACCTTCAGCAAATTGCTAATCAAATGCCAGATGCATTCACTGATACAGGAAAAGTGACAAAATCACATATACCTGCAGCAAACACACCAGCAAGGATTGATATCCCAATCGGATTAACCAATGTTGCAGCAAATGAATCATCTACTGCACGCCTGAAGCGAGGTAGACCCATTGGTTCCAAGGACTCAACTCCTAGAAAGCGAAAATCGATCCCAATCCCAATGGAAACGCTAATGAAGATATTATTGGGAAAGAGATTCACCTTGAATCTACAATTCATCCGGAGAATGAAAGTGTCATTGAAAAGACACAAGCCACTGAAGAGGAAAAGATACCTAATACAGAAATTTCTGTAAATTTCGCATGCAATGATGAATTATGGGACCGTAGTGAAATGGTTATCGATGATAGTTTCTCTTTCGCAGTAGCTGCTGAGATTATAAAAGGTTATGAAGATATTGAACCACGATCTGTTGATGAATGTAAAGGGAGGCCTGATTGGCCAAAGTGGAAAGAAGCAATCCAAGTTGAGTTAAATTCCTTGGAAAAACGTGGTGTATTAGGACCTATGGTTCAAACACCACAAGGTGTAAAACCTGTGGGATATAAATGGGTGTTCACAAGAAAGCATAATGAGAAAAATGAGATTGCCAGGTATAAGGCACGACTCGTTGCGCAAGGCTTTTCTCAAAGGCCTGAGATTGATTATGAAGAAACATATTCTCCTGTTATGGATGCAATTACATTCCGTTATTTAATAAGTCTTGCAGTTTTAGAAAAACTTGACATGCATCTTATGGACGTTGTTACTACATACTTGTATGGGGAGTTAGACGCTAATATTTATATGAAAGTCCCAGAAGGACTCAAGTTGGTAGAATCAAATACTAAATCACGGAACATGTACTCCATTAAGTTGAGACGTTCACTATATGGGTTGAAACAATCCAGACGAATGTGGTATAACCGTCTTAGTGAATATTTGATTAAGGAAGGCTACATCAATGATCCCATATGCCCTTGTGTTTTTATAAAGAAATCAAATTCTGGATTTGCAATCGTAGCAGTGTATATCGACGACATGAACTTAATTGGAACTCCTCAAGAGATCATTAAAACTGTTGAATATAAAATGGTGAATTTGAGATGAAAGACCTTGGAAAAACTAAATATTGTATGGGCTTGCAGATCGAGCATCATCTCAATGGTATTCTTGTCCATCAATCAGCTTACACTGAAAAAATTTTGAAGCGATTTTATATGGATAATGCCCACCCGTTGAGCACTCCAATGGTAGTTCGTCCATTAGACACAAATAAAGATCCATTCCGTCCTAAAGAGGATGATGAAATGATACTTGGTCCAGAAGTTCCATATCTTAGTGCAATAGGTGCTTTATTATATATTTAGCCCAATGTACTAGGCTAGATATTGCATTTCCAATAAATTTATTAGCCAGGTATAGCTCGGCTCCAACACGTAGACACTGGAATGGTATAAAGCATATCTTGCGCTACCTTCGTGGAACAACTGATATGTGCTTGTTTTATTCAAACGAACCTTCCAACGGTCCAAATCTTGTTGGATGCGTGGATTTTGGGTATCTCTCCAATCCACATAAGGGTCGCTCCCAAATTGGTTATGTGTTTACTTGTGGAAATACAGCAATCTCATGGCGATCTACAAAATAAACTTTGGTTGCTACCTCTTCTAATCATGCAAAAATTCTTGCGCTCCATGAGGCTAGTAGAGAATGTGTTTGGTTAAGATCCCTAGTTCATCATATTCGGAAAACATGTGATCTTTCTTCAACAACAAAAGCTCTGAAAATCATGTATGAAGACAATGCTGCTTGTATAGCTCAAATTAAAGAAGGGTTTATCAAGGGTGATAGAACCAAACATATACAACCAAAGTTCTTCTACCCACATGAGCTTAAGAAGAATCAAGAGATTGAAGTAAAACAAATTCGTTCCCAAGATAACCTGGCAGACCTCTTCACCAAAGCTCTTCCGAAGTCTGCATTTTAGAAGTTGGTATATGGTATAGGAATGCGACAACTTTACAAGCAATCAGATTGTTGAAG